CGTGGCAGGCGCAGCACTTTGTGAACCTCCATGTGCAGACTTCGTGGTCGGCGCATTACTTTGTGAACCTCCATGTGCAGATTTCGTGGCAGGCACAGCACTTTGTGAACCTCCATGCTTCTCCGAACCTCGACGGGGAAGCTCCGCGGAACGACGGTTACGAGACGGTCTCGGGTCATGCTCGGATCATTCTCGGATCATGGTCGGATCATTCTCGGAATCGTCCCTCCATTGTGATTAGAGGTTTCAGTGGTTTCTTGAAGTGCAGATTTCGTGGCAGGCACAGCACTTTGTGAACCTCCATGTGCAGAGTTCGTGGCAGGCACAGAACTTTGTGAACCTCCATGCGCAGATTTCGTGCCAGGCACAGCACTTTGTGAACCTCCATGTGCAGATTTCGTGGCAGGCGCAGCACTTTGGGAACCTCCATGCGCAGAGTTCGTGGCAGGCACAGCACTTTGTGAACCTCGATGCGCAGATTTCGTGGCAGGCGCATTACTTTGTGAACCTCCATGTGCAGATTTCGTGGCAGGCGCAGCACTTTGTGAACCTCCATGCTTCTCCGAACATCGACGGGGAAGCTCCGCGGAACGACGGTTACGAGACGGTCTCGGGTCACGCTCGGATCATTCTCGGATCATGGTCGGATCATTCTCGGAATCGTCCCTCCATCGTGATTAGAGGTTTCAGTGGTTTCTTGAAGTGCAAATTTCGTGGCAGGCACAGCACTTTGTGAACCTCCATGTGCAGAGTTCGTGGCAGGCACAGCACTTTGTGAACCTCCATGTGCAGATTTCGGGGCAGGCACAGCACTTTGTGAACCTCCATGTGCAGAGTTCGTGGCAGGCACAGCACTTTGTGAACCTCGAAGTGCAGATTTCGTGGCAGGCGCATTACTTTGTGAACCTCCATGTGCAGATTTCGTGGCACTAAAGTTGTACTACAAAGTCGCCAGTTCTCAGCTTCCAGCTGCCCAGATTGCTCCGCGCACTAAAGTTGCACTACAAAGTCGCCAGTTCTCAGCTTCCAGCTTGCTCCGCGTACTAAAGTTGCACGAGAAAGTCGCCAGTTCTCATCTTCCAGCTCCCCAGATACTCCGCGTACTAAAGTTGTACTAGAAAGTCGCCAGTTCTCAGCTTCCAGCTCCACAGATTGCTCTGTGTACTAAAGCTATACAATTACTACAAAGTCGCCAATTCTCAGCTTCCAGCTCCACAGACGCTGTGCCTGCCACGAAATTTGCACATGGAGGTTCACAAAGTGCTGTGCCTGGCACAAAATCTGCACATGGAGGTTTACAAAGTCCTGTGCCTGCCACGAAATCTGACGAAATCTGCACATGGAGGTTCACAAAGTGCTCACCTCGAGGTTCACACAGTGCTGCGCCTGCCACGAAATCTGCGCATGGAGGTTCACACTGTGCTGCGCCTGCCACGAAATCTGCACATGGAGGTTCACACAATGCTGTGCCCGCCACCAAATCTGCACCTGGAGGTTCACAAAGTGCTGCGCCTGCCACGAAATCTGCGCATGGAGGTTCACAAAGTGCTGTGCCTGCCACGAAATCTGCACTTCAAGAAACCACTGAAACCTCTAATCGCAATGGAGGGACGGTTCCGAGAATGATCCGAGCATGATCCGAGAATGACCCCAGCATGACCCGAGACCGTCTCGCAACCGTCGTTCCGCGGAGCTTCCCCGTCGAGGTTCGGAGAAGCATGCAGGTTCACGACTTTGTAGTACAACTTTAGTACGCGGAGTATCTGGGGAGCTGGAAGATGAACTGGCGACTTTGCAGTACAACTTTAGTACGCGGAGCAAACTGTGGAGGTGGAAGCTGAGAACTGGCGACTTGTAGTGCCACTTTAGTACGCGGAGAATCTGGGGAGCTGGAAGATGAGAACTGGCGACTTTTTATTACAACTTTAGTACGCGGAGCATCTGGGGAGCTGGAAGATGGGAACTGGCGACTTTGTAGTACAACTTTAATACGCGGAGCAATCTGTGGAGCTGGAAGCTGAGAACTGGCGACTTTGTAGTACAACTTTAGAGCGCGGAGTATCTGGGGAGCTGGAAGATGAGAACTGGCGAGTTTGTAGTACAACTTTAGTACGTGGAGAAGCTGGGGAGCTGGAAGATGAGAACTGGCGACTTCGTAGTACAACTTTAGTACGCGGAGCAATCTGTGGAGCTGGAAGATGAGAACTGGCGACTTTCTAGTACAACTTTTGTACGCGGAGCAATCTGTGGAGCTGGAAGCTGAGAACAAGCCGTGGAGCTGGAAGCTGAGAACTGGCGACTTTGTAGTACAACTTTAGTACGCGGCTGAGTCATCTCTATTCTGTATTTTGCAAAGCGCAAGACAGTTGACGGCGGTTGCTTCGCTTTTGCTCCATTGGTCGGTTCCAACTTGTTTTGTCAAAGACCATCGCAGGTCGGCGAATCAGCCTGCCACATGCCCTTTTCCTATAGGATTATTCTGTTGGAAACTTCCGCCGCCGGCTTGCCCGGGAACTACTTGTACTGTATTTCATTTGTCAAAATTTGCTGACGAGCCTTCAGTTGGCTTCCCCAAACTCCCCTTACAAGTAAGAGGAGTACTCAGCAAAGTAGTGTGTTTGTGCTCAGGCTCAAGGAATTTGAGGCATCTCGGTTTGGCCATTGAAGCTTGCTCCATTTTGCCTTGAACAGAGGTGTTCCTTTAGTAGGCAGGCTGGCATTCTTTGCAGATCAAGTACAGTGATAGTGACGGCACCATGACTTTTCAAGTTAATCCCAGATCAGCAGCTGTATTATATGATCACTATTGTATATACCACACCCAATACAAGCGCTTGTCAGCCCACTCCCCAGCGTACTGCCAATCATTGGGCACAGCTGCAAGCAGACTTTAATGCTGCACACCGAACCCAATGCTAGCAGTTCTAAGCTCACATTGAACACGCAGCAAGGAAGCAGAGCCCCCCAACGCCATCCCCCTCGCAACCTCACCATGCCCCGATGCTCAGAATTCCAATCGAACAGGGCAATTTGAGCCGCAAGTGGCACTGCACACCCAAATCATCCTGAGTTGCAAGTGCTCCAAAAGCTGAGTTTGCGCAAGGTAATCACAAGTTTCATTTTGACTGCATCGATCAGTTCCACAGGCGTGGTTGAGGTGTTGACACCCACTTCAAGCCAAATGGCAGGTGTTCATGCTTTGTTCCAATGGTGGAGCAACCAAGTTGGAGAGCTTATTAAAGCTGTTAGGCAGAAGCTGCGTGAAAGGGACATGGACCTTCCATGTTTTACATGCGGCGCTGCAAGCAACAAGCACGGTCGCTGAGGGCCAAATCAAGTGAGCCGAGATGTTGGCGCTGTACAGTCTTGTGAAGAGGTTGACTTGTGAGGTCCATAGCAGCTGTTATGGAAGATCGAAGAAAGGAGAGAAAGGAGAAGGAGGCGCTTCTACACTGCCTTGGCACGAACTTGCTTTGTTGAATTCGCCCGTGAATCTTGGGATTGTTTCTTGCCTTCTTACACTCTGTTTTGCTCTACTTCTGGTTCAGCTAGCGCACCTGGTGATCACAAGGCGATGCAGGATGCAGCGGCAAGGCATCGAATGGTCGTGTTGCTTAAGAAATTACAGTATAGAGGATCCAACGTGTTGTCCATTAGACATAATGCTGAGATTTATCGAGGTGTGCGCAGAGATGCTTGATGTTTTGACTGTCAAGATTTCATGGTTGAAGCAAGAGATCAAAGCTAGCAAAGAAGGGCTGATTGTATTAGCCTGCGGGGTCTTCCTTCCAGACCTTAGGTGCATGTTGTGGAGACGTGTTCTTCCCAACGCAATGACATCTAAGCTCCCTTCGGTCCCTTCGCCCTGTTTTTCTCCCGTTTTTAGTCTGAGGGTCTGGGGCAGGACCTGTGTTTGCGTCGGTGGCGTCGTCGTCGTCGGGCCGTCAATTTGCTCACATTGGGCGAAGCTGAGAGAGGGTTTTGGATGGAAGCATGAGTGTCAGATTCGTGTGAAACAGCGAGGAAACATGTGGAAACGTGAGAGGATGAAGTGTGGAGGATGATTTCACTGCGCAGGTATAGCGTTTTGTGAGATCCTCAGTTTTATGCGCAGTCAGATTGGGATTGGCAAGGGTGGTGTTCTGGGGCGTTGGATGCGGCTGTGACATTGGGTTTTGTGTTTCAGATCGTTTCAGGCTGCTGCTTCGAAGCTATGTTTTCGTGACACGTCTCAGCTCAAGTGATCTCAAGTGGCGACTTTGGTGGCTGGGAGCGTGCACAGAACGTGTCGAAATCATTCCAATCGTGTGGCACGGTGCAAATCTTGCTGAAGCTATGAAGGGATGATATTGTCACTTTTCGTGGCAGGCACAGCACTTTGCGCGGGCTTTAAGGTGCGGAAGTGCAATTTTCGTGGCAGGCGCAGGGAGTTGTGAGGTTGTGGAGGTGAATGTCGCTGTGGCATTGGGATTGGCCTGCGAGCGGGTGTTGGTTGGAAGGGCTGGAATTGCGGAACTGCTTGGCAGGGCTGCTTGATGTGTGTGCTCCGATGTGGCCTCCCGCTTGGCTTTTGGAGGAAATCTCGTACGAAACGCTCGTTTTGGAGACTTTGACATGTGACTTCTGGAGGAAGTCTCGTGCGAAACGCTCGTTTTGGAGACTTAACGCGCGAATTTTGGTAGAGGTCTCGAACGAAGCACTCGCTCGTTTTGCAGACTTGAAGCGTGAGTTTTTGAGGAGGTCTCGCGGGAAACGCTCGCTTTGGAGACTTGACGAATGAATTTTGAAACAAGTCTCGTAGGACACTGACGTGTGACTTTCTGGAGCAAGCCTCGGTTGACTGTTGGAGACTTTAATAGTACCCCACAAGCGTGTCCCACAAGAGCGTCCTACATGCATGTCCAACAAGAATGTCCCACAAGAGAGCCCTGCAAAGAGTGTCCCACAAGAATGCCAGACAAGAGCGCCCCAAAAGCGTGACCCACAAGAGCGTCTTACCAGAGAGTTCCGCAAGAGTGGCAAGGGTGTCCCACAAGAGCGTCCCGCAAGAGACAAGAGTGCCCCACAAGATTGTCCCACAAGACCGTCCCACAAGAGAAACCACAAGAGCGCCCCGCAAGAGTGCCCCACAAGAGTGACCTACAAGTGCTCTGCAAAAATGTCCCACAAGAGTGTCCTACAAAGAGTGCCCCACAAGAACGCCAGACAAGAGCGTCTCAAAGGAGACCGTGTCACAAGACCGTGTCATACAAGAGTGTCCCGCAAGAGAGTCCTACAAGAGTGCCCCACAAGTGACAAGAGTGCCCCACAAGAGTGTCCCACAAGAATGCCATACGGTTGCGCCCCAATAGAGTGACCCACAAGAGTGT